CAATTCCTAGATTCCACGTAGACGTGTGTATGGGCACACGTAAGACAAAATAGGTTTCTTAAACACTCCAATTTTCACAAACACCAATGTATGCACGATGTGAAATTTTTGGAAAAAAATATTTTTGCTCTCTTGCTTTAAACCATAAAGTGACTTGACTAACTTGCATACCTTCTTTTCATTTCCAAGTAGTACAAACCCTTCGGGTTGTTCCATATAGATTTCCTCATCAAGATCACCATTTAGAAAAGCCCTCTTAACACCCATTTGATGCACATACAAATTACATATTGATGCAATTGCAAATAGCACTCTTATGGATGTCAATCTAGCTACCGGAGCATATGTATTGAAATAGTCTATACCACGCTTTTGTTTAAAGCCTTTAGCTACTAATCTAGCTTTGAATGTTAGTATAGACCCATTGGTATTGTACTTTCTTCTAAACACCCATTTGTTGCTTATTAGTTTTGATCCCGGAGGAAGATCGATCAAGATTCAAGTTTGATTCGAGATAATCGAATCCATTTCATCATTCACGGCCTCTCTCCAAAAGGAGGCATCCCTTGAAGGCATAGCTTCATTAAATGTCTTTGGATCTTCCTCTATATTAAGCAACAATGGTATTTTATTAAGTACACCATTTTTATCTCCTTCAACCAAAAAGGTTAAAGCTTGAGATGAAATAAAATCCGGTGCTAGGTTCTTTTCTTTTCTTTCACGTTGACTTCTTCTCGGTTCGAAAGATGTCATAGACTCTTTCCTTTTATTAGTGGAGGTACCGGGAACGTCAACATATGGTTGATTAACATTATATTCTAATTCAATGGAAGAATCAAGGCTAAACTTGTTCTCAACAAATTCAACATCTCTTGATTCCACAATAACATTAGAATCTAGATTCAATAATCTATAAGTCTTAGAATTTTCAGCATAACCTAGGAAAACACTTCTAATACCTCTAGCTCCTAACTTTGATGATTTAGGGTCAATAATTCTATAAAAGGCTAGACAGTCCCACACCCTCAAATACATCAAGTTTGGTTTTCTTCCTTTCCATACTTCATATGGAGAGACATGTGTTTTCATAGATGTAATCATATTGTGAACATGACACGTTGTAAGTAAAGCTTCCCCCCATAAATTAGTAGGCAATTTAGAATTAAGAAGCATAGAGTTAATCATATCGGTAAAGATTCTATTCTTTCTTTCAGCCAATCCATTTTGTTGAGGAGTAAAAGGGGCTGACTTTTGGTGAATAATTCCATGCTCTTTATAGAAAGCATCAAATTCATTTGAGAAATATTCACCACCTCTTCACTTCGAACCATTTTGATCTTCTTGTCTTTTTGGTTCTCAATTTCAGCCTTATAAATTTTAAATTTATCAAAGGCTTCATCTTTTGTTCTAAGTAAATATACATAAGTATATCTAGAACAATCATCAATAAAAGTGATAAAGTATCTCTTTCCTCCTCTAGTCAAAATACCATTATACTCACAAATATCGGTATGAATCATATCCAATATTTGAGTATTACGTTCGGCTCTAGGAAAAGGTTTCTTAGTCATCTTTGCTTGTATACAAATTTCACACTTATCATTTTTAATATCTTTGCAATTAATCAAACCATGTTTAGACATGTATTTCAAAGATCTAAAATTTAAGTGTGCTAAACGTGCATGCCAAACATCAAAAGAATCAACAATATAAAGAGAATTCACATCATCTTTATTATTAACACTTAGTTTGTACATGTCATCATAAGAATACCCCTTCCCCACAAAAATCTCATTCTTAGATACAATACAATTATTACCCTCAAGTACAATCTTAAGCCCATTCTTACACATAAGACTAACAGATACAAGATTTTTCCTAATATCAGAAATATGAAGAACATTGTTCAATGTAAGCTTCTTTCCGGAAGTAAAGTTAATCTCCACCACTCCTCTCCCGGAAACCATCGCTGCATCATTGTTCCCCATGAGAACCGTTTGTGCTTCCTTTTCCACTTTATAAGATAAGAACATAGTCTTGTCATTACAAACGTGGATTGTGGCACCAGAATCAAGCCACCAATCGGAGGATCTAAATGCAGCCATGTTAGTTTCGGTGATCATGCCAATTTACAATTCCGAGACCATAGCACATATGTTTTCAGATTTCTCTTCAACAACATTGGCATTGTTGGTGTTCACTTCTTCCTTTTTCTTCTTGTATCTGCAGTCATTTTGGCGATGGCCTTTCTTTCCACAAAAGAAACAATTTCCAGAAAATTTCTTTTGGCCATTACCTGCCTTCTTGAACTTCTTGTCATTATTGACTTTGAAGTTCTTTGAAAACTTACTAGCTTCGGCAACATTAACTTTAGAGGAATCTACATTTTTGTTCTTGGAATCACGAGACTTGGTCTTTTCTTCGATTCTCAAGTATTTTGTAATTCCTCCAAAGTTATGTCATCTCTCCTATGAAGGAGTTTCTTCCTATAACCATTCCAACTTTGAGGCAATTTAGCAATAATTGCCCCCACTTGAAATGATTTAGAAATCTCAACCTTCAATTCACGAAGCTTAGTAACAATGACTTGCAATTCATGTATTTGATCTAGAACGGACTTGGTATCAACCATGACAAATTCTAGAAATTTCAAGATGAGAAATTTGTCCGTACCTTCCTTCTCAGTTTTGTATTTGTATTCGAGAGCGTTCCAAATCTTCACCGGAGACTCCATCGAATTGTAAAGATCGTAGAGCCTATCGGGGGAGAGTGTTGAGAATATGACCCCGGCACATGATTTCATCATCTCCACGCTTCTTCCTTGCGATCTCCAATTCTTCGGAATCATCCTCCTTTGGTTCAGAAAGTGGCTCCAATTTTGGATCAAGCACATAGGCTATCTTAAGCACGGTGAGAAGGAAGAACAACTTTCCCTTCCAGCGGGTGAAGTTGGT